AAAACAGGTGGCGCTTGGAAAGAAGAGGACAGCCCGGTTGAGACAGCTGCCCCAAGTGATAGCTGGCCGAATGTTGCGCACGAATATCATGACCAAAGCCTTTTGGGGCCATACACACAGTGGCCTGAGTGGTAAGACACTGCAGCGGCAGCGCTCACACCTTTCTTCTGTTCGTGGTATACTTAAAAAGCACGGAGATGTTGAGGTTGCAATGGCCTTGACTTTTGACCCTAGACAGGATCCAGCTTACAAGTTGAGGATTGAACATGTCCAAGCGTGGATCAAGTTGTATCAGGCCACGGCAGCACGGAGGCAGCGTCTCCTTTGCAAAGCTTGGTGTGTCACTTGGGGAAAGTTGAATTCGGTTGCTAAGCCATGGCTTGATGTTCGAGGACCCCTTGCTTGGGCACAGACGGTGTTTCTCCAGCTTGGCTGGTCTGCCCCAAGTTTCGACTGCTGTGTAAATGCGCAGCAGAAGCAAATTCAGCTTGATTACTTTGACCCCGCACTTCAGCACGCGATTGCCCCGCGGATCCACGCGCCAGTTGAACAATATCTCTGGACAAAGGCTGGCACGCACCAATGCTCGCAAGGCCTCAATGGTGAAAAACTTGGTCTTGTCATTGCGCGTAGCAGGAGCACATGGCTTGTAGCAAATCAGCCGCACAGAGTTGCCTTTCATGAATGCCTGTCCAAGGTTCACTTGTTGCGCATGTTGACTTGTTAAAACAAGATAGCTTGTGTCCAGTTTGCGGTGAAGAGCCTGACACTTTGATGCACAGACTTTGGCAGTGTCGCAAATTGGGGCTTAGGCACCCTGCAGCCTGGGATGCTCACTTTCAAGACCGTGGGCAGACTTGTTTTTGGTTGAAGGTTCTGGTTCCAAGGAGTTGGAGTCAGCATGTTGGGGTTGAAGGTGCGGACTTGCATGTTGATGGGATCCTGGCGCAGCCGTGGCCAGTTGTTTTACCACCTGGAGCGAAGGTTTGTTGGTGGTCCAAAGCAAAGCACCTGCGATCCACGCCTTCGAAAGTGTGTTTGGGCGTGTGCTGCTGTTGTTGCTGATGAGTCTGACGTTGGATCAGCAATTGGAAATCTCCTCGGACAGTATCAATCGGTACCAAGGGCGGAGGTCACAGCCTTAGTCAAGGCTATTCAAGCCACTGCGGGCTTGCTGGACTTGTGTACTGATGCAGCTTATGTCCTTCGCAAGTTCCGAAAATGCAGACAACCTCTTTTCTTTCCTTCTTCGCATTGGGATTTGCGGTCGCAAGTCAAACCTGCTCAGAGAAGCCGCCAGTTGAGTTTGCATAAGATTAAATCCCACTTGTTTAGCGTTCGAGGCGTAATATGTACGGGAGCTCTGGTGGCTGTGGCGTGGAAGCAGGTCCGCCGATTTTCTTGCAAGCAAGCGTGCTGAGAATATCTTTGATAGGCAGGCGGCTGAAATCCAGTCATGGTTGGATGATCGCACGTGGAAAGTGCAAGCGAGATTGCTTGATGCTATTGAGTTTTGGGCGACTCGCGCTGAGTATGATCCTCCCAAAACTCACACTTGCAAGAAGCCCACTAAGCATCAGTTCCTCGCCATGCTGCGTCAAACGTCCGGAGCTTCTGAACATCACTGGTGCTAATGCAAGGGCGGAATCCGTTGCGAGTTGTGTGGCCTAAAGCTTGCGTACCACCAGACACGGAATGAGTTGAATGCTAAAAGCCGCAGCCATTGTGACGGTTTTGGAACCAGATTCTTGACTTGCACTTCTCAACTCCATGACAGTCATGTGATTGAAGGCAGGTCGGGAGGCATATTTGTGCATACGGCGGTAAAACCGTACACTCTTTTGTGCCTTTTTTTGGACCATACACGCCATACACACGCCCGCAGCAGCCGCCGCAATAGCCAAAGCAGATGGGCAGCAGGAAGCGTAAAGGGGAGGGCGGGGCGCCATTTTACGGAATCGCTATCCATGCCCAAAGCATAATTCCGTTCGTGTTCCAAGAGCATACGGTGACCAGAGCATCCATGCCCAAAGCCATAATTCCCTCCGTGTTCCAAGCGCATACGGTGACCAGAGCATCCATGCCAA